TTGAATGATGTTCTTACTAATGGCAAGATGACCTATATTCCTTTTTTAATGATTTTTTATCTACAATGGGTGTTTCATTTTGCTAAATGTTTACAAGTCATCTATTAATTTGCCATGTGATTTTTGTCTAGACCTTTGATTTGATAGAGTATACTGACATTTTGAGAGTTGAACTAGCTTTTCATGCTTGAGATAAACACCATTACCCTATGTGTTGTTACTTATAATTATTAGATTCCATTGTTTTTTCAGCTATTTATATTATTTGGTTTTGGTTTTTCAAGACAGGGTTTCTCTGTGTAAAATTCCTGGCTCCTCTAAAACTCATTTTTGAGACTAGGATGGCCTCAAACTCACTTAAATCCACCTGCCTCTACCTCCTGAGTTCTGGGATTAAAGGCCTGTGCCAAAACCACCTGGCTTGTTTGTGTTAAACTTAGAAATAATGGAACCACTGGTATTTACAATACACATTCACATACTCTTACTTTTCATTGTGTGGTTTATTTTTAATACTGTGATATTTTATGCAAAACATGGCATTGTCACTGCTTACGTCATGACAATTTTTGCAGAGCCACAGATGTAGCAAGTAGTCTCTGTATTGTTCATGTCTTACAATAGATTTATCTGGAAAGGAAACAATTACACTTTTTTTCTAAATTAAGTGAAGCCTATTGTTTCTTTAATGACAAAAACTGTAATGCTAGATAAATTTAAAAAGTAATTTCAGAAAGAACACTTTAGTAACACCTAACAAAGCATCTCACTTCTGTTGCATGTTGGAGATAATTGAATGCTATACTTCATAATGAACTAATGGTATTTGTCAGACAAAATGATAATATTTTGTACTTGCATGGCATCTTTATTTTAATGAGCTCAATAATGATTCAGTGGTCTATTTTTTTCTTTGCAATAATTTGGAAGCATTTACATGGGTAATATGTTTTCATGCAAATTTCCCCTGACTGGTGAGAGATTTGATAGTATCAGAGGTAACATGAAAAGTTAGTTTTATAATTAGAGTCACAGATAAGAGTAGTCAAGCTGGAAGAAACTGCTGAAGATAATCAGGTCATCCACTGTGCTGTGCAGATAGGGAATGGAACATAGAAACAAAGTTATATACAGGAATATAAACATGTTCCTGAGCTAAACAATGTAGTTATAATTACTATATAGAATAGACTATTTTATGTGGCATATTGCAAGAGTTAACTATCTCTGTCAACTATTTAACTATATTGTTATATATAAATTAGGACTGAATTTTGGTAGATAATTTTATATGCTAAACACCCAAGGATAATGCTTACAAAGTCATGCTAACGTATATAGGTAGAGTTGCATTAAGTAGATTCTTCATGTTATACTCTTAAAATAAGATATTGATGCAATTTCAAATACTATATTCAAATAGTATTTGGTAGTACATTTCCCAATTTTTGGCTTCTATTAACATAATATTCATTTCTACTTATGGGTAATTATTAATTATTGTCTCATATAATACAATAGTAGATTATACAAATTAGCCCTATTTTCTGGATTTTAAAAAGACAATAAGTACATTTTTATCTCTAACAGAAGAATACTGAGTTATCAAAGTATGGAAGAAATTTACATAAAAATAGATAGTCAATGATTAGATTATAGTAATGTATGACATCACTGAACTTGCAGTTTAAACTAAAGAACTTTGAAATACTACAATTTTCTTACCCAAACATAAACTGAAACATTATTTTTCCAAAGTCTTTATCAAGATGGGCATTGGTGGTACATGCCTTTAATCCCAGCATTTGGGAGGCAGAGGCAGGCAGAACTCTGTGAACAGTTTGAGACCAGCCTGGTCTACAAGAGCTAGTTCCAGGACAGCCTCCAAAAGCCACAGAGAAACCCCCCAAAAAATCAACAAAACAAAAAGAAAAAGAAAAAGAAAAAGAGAAAATGAAAAAGAAAAAGAAAAAGAAAAAAAGAAAAAAAAAGAAAAAAGAAAAAAAAGTCTTTATCAACCACATTTTCTTTGAAGAGAGTAGTTTAGAGAGACATCTGTAAGATAAGTTAATGTAGAAGCATCTCAGTATTGAATAACTGCATTCTATTAAACAGGGTGGGAAACAGGATCTAAAGAAGAGAACATTAAACTTCCTTATTTTCTCTAATCTGGGGTAAAGATATCAGGGTGAGGAAAGCTGGTAGAAAGAAGACAAGAAAGTACTGAGTCTTTAACTTAGAGATAAATGCCAGTGATCAAACACACTGTGAGAGTCTATGATCAACCTATGCCATACTGACCTCCTCTACTTTATGTTATGTAAACTGATAGAGGTGCAATATATAGGAAAGAGATAGCCTAAGTTAGCTAAAAACAGTCTAGTGCTGTTGGAGAAGGGAAACAATTGGATGTCATTGTCTCCCATGATGCTGCCCCTGGAGATTACTTGTGCTCCAGTGAAGAGATTAAACCCAGTGAAGAGATTAAATTATTTTTAAATTGATACTCAATAATTTTAGTATATCATTTATCAAAATATATTTTGCTAGCATATTTAATATTAATAATTTTAATTAATATTAAAAAGTAGTAAGTCTGTGTCCATGAATTCTCTCTCTTATCCTGTTATCATGAATCTTTATTGGCTGTCTGGAGTGGACTCAAGAGACTGTTTTCCAGCCTGGGAGTTTAAAATTACCTCAGGCAGGAAAAAAGTGAGTACTAGAAATAAGAAGGAGCAATAGGAGAAGGAAGACACAATTCAGCAATGGAATTGAATGAAGAGGAAGAGGATGAGAAGGAGAATGGAAGTCAGCAAATATGCTCATCACATAAGAGACAATTGTGACAACATGGAAAACCAATGACAGGTAATGAATATATATTTTCTGATGATTCAACTTAACTTTTTCAATTATGAAAAAGATGAGAGCACTAATAACAAGGCCAATGACAATCCACAAATTATAATGCTGTCACAGTTCTTAATTCACTATAACTTTGCCTTTTAGTATATAATATTAATATAGACTATTATGGGAGTGTTAATATTATTCATATATAAGAACATCTTGATAAGTACTGTCTCTTCAGTTACTGATTAAAGTTAGCTCATTTCTTAGCTATCCCATTATGTTTATAGGCCCTTTGAACAATAGTGAGTGTGGAAGAAGTATTTTTCAAAGTCAGGGCAAATGAACTGGTAACAGTGCTAATGGCCTGTTAACAAAGCATGAAAAATTCCTGAATAAGCCATAGTGAGGAGCTAGCTCACTGCTGAGGTAAGGGATAATTGCTTCCAATGACCCATGCACAAATAAATAAGACTGATGTCTATGTCTGTATCAGAATGTTTCATTCTTCAGGGGAAATAATTTACCTGTAAGTCAACAACAACACATGGCTACAGAAAGGGATTCTCTAAGCTTAGTAGGAAGTGATAATGTAGATTCAAGCATAATGATTTCATAGTTGTTTTCTTGTTGTTGATTTACAGAGAGGAGCAAATAATGAAATGAAGAGATATTTCAATATTACAAGTCAGTTAAATCAAATCAATGAAGATACCTCATTAATATATAATAATACATACAGATATTGTAGCATATACTAAAGCAAAAGGTAATTTCTTTCTTTTACAAAATTTCTAATCTTCATTAATGCAAATGGAGTCTGCAATAATAGAAATGTTTTAATAGAAAATAAGATATTTTTGCATTCCACAAATGAAGCTGCAGAAAGGTGGAAATACACTTGTATTTTTAATTCTTCATGTTCTTCTTTCCAAAGACTATTTAATGGGTTCACATTACTGGATAATGTTATAGCTTTTATGACTTTCTAAAGAATAAAGAGGATTTTATATATTAATTTGTAGTTGAGATGAGGGTGGTTTTAATATCATTTTCCTGAAATTTCATATACCATTGAAATATTCATAATGGTTGGCTAAAACTATATAAGAGCTTCTTTTTATATACATTACAAAAGTTGAGTGAAGGTAAAGAATCTCAAAAGTTACATAAACTACCCTGATTTTAAATAAATAAAAGAATATATGTTGGTGAACTTGAACACAATTGAAGCCAGCCTGGTCTACATAGCAAGTTCTAGGACAGGCTCCAAAGCTACAGAGCAAACTTGTCTCAAAAATATAAATAAATAAATAAATAAATCAATAAATAAATAAATAAATAAACACATAAATAAAGTGAAATCAATTACATAGGATATGCATAACATTGAAAAATAAATCAGAAAAATGAGGAAGTACATTTGAGGGAAGGAATAATCTAAAAACACAGTAACAGCAACAAATTAAACTGAAAACAGCAAATGATTATATTAATAATAAGCTAAAAGGTGGGTATTTTATTGCTAACAGCAGAATGCACAGAACTAGAGATCACACTAGGCAAAAATAGCTAGTCATCTCTAAACAAATGTGTTTTCTCTCTTGTATGGGATCTAGGAGGATAGGAAGCAGGACATGAAGAAAAAGAAGGGGAAGGAAGATTGGTGGAATGATAAAATATGGGCTTTGATAAACCAAAATACAACATAAACATATATGGTAATGGTATAATGAAATCTTTTTAATTAATATAGCCTGCATATGCTGAAAATGGATATTTTTATTTTATTTATTTAATTTAGAATATGTCTCATTTTACTCATGCACATCAGTGGAACAGAACTGAAAACCCTAGAGAGACTTGTTCCAATAGTTTCAAGCAAGTTATATAAAGGAAGGACTGCCTATTCAAACATGTGTTGCTCTGGTAAATGAACAATATGTTTTAATAATGTGGTTACAAACAGAGAACTTACACCTCTTCTAAAAATTCACTGGAAATTGAACACAGACTTAATCTATAAATCACACTACAAAATGTGGAGATAACATATGTGAAAACATGACTGACTGAGTTTACATTTGGTGATACACTTTTAGACACAATACCACAAGAATGGTCCATGAACAAAATTATGTTAGGTTAAAGTCATTAAAATGAAAAGCTTTTACTCCACAAAAGAAATCCTTAAGAAAACAGACAAGCCATATATGGGCAGGATAAAAGATGTGGACTCAATGTATGAAAAGAATTATAGAAACTCTAACAGTGAGCAAGGGATAATTTAACCCCTCCAAAAAGAAGACTAAGACTAGGGAAAGGAGGAGGAGGAGAAAGAAGAGGACAATGAGGCAGAGGTGGAAGAAAGAGGGGAAGCTGGAAAAAGGAGGACAGAAGAGGAGGAAGCAGGGGAAGAAAAAGGAGGACAATAGAGTTCTGAATAAATGTTTGAAAGTAGAAGACACTGAGAGAGCAAACAGATTTGTGAAAGATCCTTTCTATTTCAGAATTGAAAACAAAATCAATAAGAACCAAGGTCATATGGATACTATGCTGACTAAACTCCAAAATCTGAAAATTAAATGTGGATGAGTATGTGAAGAACAACATATGCTGTCATAGTATTTTGCAAGACAGTTGGCATTGTCTTATGAATCCAAATGTAATTTTACCATGTGCCACAGTAAACATATGCCTAAGGTATTTATCTAACTGAGTGGAAAAATATACACACAAAATCTCAACACTGAAACTTAAAGCAACATATACATAGTTGACCAACAAGGGAGGTATCCAAGACAGCCATCACTATAGTATATTCATAAAGCATAATATATTTCAAGAGAAAAAGAAATTATTAAGCCACAAAAATACTTGAGGAGAACTTAAATACATAATGGTATGGGAAATGAGGATTTTTGAGAACTACATATTTTAAACACAATTATTTTTACTTTTTGCAAATGGCAACATATTATGGAAATAGTAAAAACAAAATTGGTAGGCACAGAAGATTGAGGGATTTGAGAAACTGAGAGATTTTATAGATAAGGTAAACATGCTTTTATGTGGTAAAACAGATCTGTAAGTAATGCAATGGCTGAGACTCAGTATTAGGCACCATTAATTACCCATAATGGATAAGTGTTTAAAAAATCTAGTGATTGGAGAGTCCCAAGGAAGAATGCATGTCAACAGGGAAGACTGAACCACACATTGCAAGTGAAAATTCAGATTCTAACAGGAGAGCAAGTGTGATGGTCTAAGTAACCTTGGAAGTATAAAATCAAATAAGATCAAAATTGTATTTGGTCTTTATTACAAAAGTTGCCTACTATGAAACTATCTGTTAACAACCCAGATATTTCTAGGAATATATTCTTAAAATTAAAAAAATAAGATAATAATGAATAGCTGAGACAGAGAGGTCTCACCTATTTGGAGAATATGAGAGGAATGAGGCAGTATCATTCATTTCTTTCCTTCTTTTTTTATTTGAATTAGAAACAAGATTGTTTTGCATGTCACTCCCAGTTCCCTCTCCCTCCCCTCATCCCCTACCACTCCTCCCCTAACTAAAACCCTACCTATCACTTATCCTTTCTGCTCTCCAGGGAGGGTGAGGCATTCCATAGTGTGTCACCAGAGTCTATCCTTTGGGATAGGGCCTAGTCCCACCCCTGTGTGTCTTGGCTCAGGGAGTATTCCTCTATGTGGATTGGGCTCCCAAAGTCCACACCTGTGCTATGGATAAATACTGAACTACTATAGGAGGTCCCAGAAACAAATGTTCCTGGGATCTGGTCAGTCCCATGATTGTATCCCAGCTATTAGTCTGGGGACCAAGAGCTCCCTGATGTTCAGGTCAGCTGTTACTGTGGGTTTCAGCAGCCTGGTCTGAACCCATGTGCTCATCACTTGTTTTTCTCTGCAACTGGATCCCAGTTCAGTTCAGTGATTAGTTATGGGTGTCTCCTTCTATTTCCACCAGTTGCTGGATGAGGGTTATATGATGGCATATAAGACAGTCATCAATCTCATTATCAGGGGAGGGCATTTCAGGTAGCCTCTCCTCTTTTCCTTAGATTGTTAGTTGGTGTTATCTTTGTAGATCTCCAGACCTTTCCCTAGTGCCTGATTTCTCTGTAAACCTAAAATATCTCCCTCTATAGTGGTATCTCCTTTCTTGTTTTCTTCTATTCTTTCCCCGATTCAACGTTTTTGCTACATCCTGTCTTCCTCATCCCTCCTTTTCTCCCCTTCTCGTTCTCCTAGTTCCCTCCCAACTCCTCCCTTGCTCCCAATTTGCTCAGGAGATCTTGTCCCTTTCTCCTTCTCCAGGGGACCATGTATGTCTCTCTTAGGGTCCTCCTTGTTTGCTAGCTTCTCTGGCAGTGTGGATTGTAGGCTGGTAATCCTTTACTGTATGTCTAAACTCCACATATGAGTGAGTACATACCACATTTGTCTTTTTGTGATTGGGTTACCTCGCTCAGAATGTTTTCTTCTAGTTCTATTCATTACCCTGGAAATTTCAAGATTCCAATTTTTTTCCTGCTGAGTAGTAGTACTCCATTGCATAAATGTACCATTTTCTCTATCCATTCTTCAGTTGAGGAGCATCTAGGTTGCTTCCAGGTTCTGGCTATTACAAATAGTGCTGTTTTGAACATCGTTGAACAGATGTCCTTGTTGTATGAATGTGTTTCTTTTGAGTATACGTCTAAGAGTGGGATTGCTGGATTTGTGGTAGACTGATTCCCATTTTCCTGAGGAGTTGCCATACTGATTTCCAAAGTGGCTGTACAAGTTGGCACTCCCACCAACAGTGGAGGAGTATTCCCCTTTCTCCACATCCTCTCCAGCATAAACTATCATTGATGTTTTTGATTTTAGCTATTCTAACAGGAGTAAGATGGTATCTCAGAGCTGTTTTGATTTGCATTTCCCAGATGACTATGGATGTTGAACACTTTCTTTTGTGCCTTTCAGCCATTTTAGATTCCTCCATTGAGAATTGTCTATTTAGTTCTGTACCCCAATTTTTAATTGGATTTTTTGGTGTTTTGGAGACTAGCTTCTTGAGTTCTTTGTATATTTTGGAGATCATCCCTCTGTCAGATATGGCATTGGAGAATATCTTTTCCCAGTCTATGGGACACAGTCTGTAAGAATCATCCATTTCTAAATGGATGAAAATTAGATATCTGTACAGATTCATGTTTAGTGAATATTATCTCACATATTTTCATATATATGTGCATATCAACATATATGTATATATGTCTTAGAGTAGACAAATGTATATTCACTTACTCTGTAAGTTAATTGTTAAATGAGGTGAAATCCAACTAGCACAAAGGAAGTCTAGGATCAAGACATTGTTGTCTCATGCTGTGTCCCAGTGAAAGGATCTAAAATCCCTGAAGTAATGGCTTCTTACTGGAGTGGAAAGGAAATAGTCAAGATTCCTAGAGAACATCATAGAGCCAGAACAAAGTATTCAAGTGAAAATTTATAGCCATATGTATAAAGAACTGATAGAAAAATCTCCAGTAGCCAAAACTGATGTGACCTGATCACCTAACAAGTGGACTTGCAGTGAGCTATAACTTGTGACAGCCAATCTATTTACATTGCAGTTTTATAAAATTCTGTAATTTAAAATAATATTTATAAATTAAATGTCCATCATATATCTTATAGTAAAATAAATAAATGATTGAATAAATAGATTAAGGAGAGTAAAGAGTCACAATTCTCAAA